GATAAACTATCACGATCTATTATGTATTGTCAACTTTTGTTATTGTTGTTGTTATGGTATTTCTTCTTCTTCTCGCTCATCTTCTATTATTTCTTCTTTTTCTTCCTTTTTTTATCGGAATTTTACTCTTCTTTTTCTTCTTTATAGATTTTCTGGAATAAATTTTCAATTTACGAATCTTTTTCTAGCATATGCTTTCCGAATTCAAGTTTACATGTTGCACCAAAGAGATAATCGTTTGATTTGTACTTCCTTCATACTCCTCCATATAAAAGAAAAGTGCTTCTTCATTCATTCATATATATAGTATATTTTTTATTCCCTGAAAGAAAATATATATATGACACCTTGTTACTATACTAAATCATGTGACCGTGTGACCTTGTGACTGTGTGACCATGTGACTGTGTGACCATGTGACCATGGGACCGTGTGACCATGTGACCATGTGACCGTGTGACCTTGTGACCATGTGGACATATGATTCGTACTATGTGACCATTGACCATTGTCTACGAAATCATAGTTTATATACTCAGATGTTGGACTATGTGACCTAAATAACCATATGTCCTATGATTTTATGATCATACGATCATGTCACCTATATGATTTTGTGACCATGTGGTTTATATGATTATGACCATATATATTACCCAAACCATCATGTCATTCATATATTTATACATTGACCCATATGATATTGTAACTCATATGACTATTCTGAATGACTTTGTGATTCAAACTGACTCATTTAATTCGATTTTAACCATTTCACATCCCAATCGATTATTTGACTTAAAAACCAACATTCTATTTCAAAATCCCCAAAATTCCAGAAATCCAAAACCCTAAATTGCACTTTAACTCAACAGCAATAAATTTTAAAATCCAACCAATCTAAAAAGAAGTGTTCGTTTAACCTGCCATGTGTTCGTCTAACGCCGCAATGTGCATAAGGATTTCATTCTTGGTCGAAGATTGTGACGAAAATGAATACAATGATGATTTTGAAGTTATGTTTCTTCGTTGCGTCGTGAATCTCAAATATAGTTGGAGATTTAAAGAGAAAAGAGAAAACGAAATTTTTAAGGAAAATAGAGATTTAACGATGAAAATCTCTAATTTTTTTTAGAGAGAGAACAAAAATGGTGAAAGAGAGGAGAGAGAGAGAAAAGAGTCGGGAGAGAGGAGGAAGAAGATAATAAAATGTTACTTTATGTTTTTATTTTGAATTTTTTAAATTGAGAAAAATAAGGTTTTTTTTGTCTTTACATTCTTTTATGAGGGTTTTATTGTCTTTTGTCATGTTCAATCTACTTTTTTGTTTGAAGGGTATGAGTAGAAATAAATATAGGAGGTGGAAGGTATTTGAGCAATATTGCCTTACTAATGCATATATATTAAAATAAAAGTAATTATAATTAAATTTATATACATACATAATATACATATTAAAATAAAAATAATTATAACTAACACATATACATATAAATATATATTAGTTGTATATGTATATTTTATATATATAACTAATATATATACATATAAATATTATTTTTAATATATATTATATTTATATATGTTAGTTATAATTATTTTTATTTTAATATGTATATTAAGTATGTATATAAAGTTTTATTAATTATAAATAATTTTATTTTTAATATATATATATATATGTGAATTTTTATGTATATATTAATTTAAATACATGTAGATGAATATTTAGATATTTAATAATATTTCTTTTGCTGAGTCAGCAGTTTTTTTGCTGAGTCAACAATTATGTTTAACGACGTTAACGGATGGGTGTTTAATTTGGAAAAAATTTAAAAAACTGGGTATTTATGCGAAAATTGTGAAAAGTTCAGATATTTATATAATAAATTTATAGTTCGGGTATTTATTTGGGGTTATTGTAAAAGTTCGGATATTTTTATGCGATTATCCCTTATCATCATCATCATCATCATCATCATTATTATTATTATAGAGTAAAATAAATACATGATTTATTTTTGGGTAAAACCCCTAAAAAACCTCCAACTTGCAAAAATATATATAAATAAACATTCAACTTGAAAAACTGTCATTCAATCCCCGAACTTGTAACTTGTCACTGAATAAAACCTCGAACTTACAAATTATTGCTCTAATAAACCTTTGACCGGTTTGACCACAATTTCAAACGATCGAAAATCCACGTATTGACGGATTGCTGGTGTCATTTTTTAAACTAAAATTGATAACATGTATAAGGTGACATCAACAATCCGTTAATACGTAGATTTCCGATCGTTTGAAATTGTGGTCAAACCGGTCAAAGGTTTATTAGAACAATAATTTGCAAGTTCGAGGTTTTATTTAGTGACAAGTTACAAGTTTGAGGATTGAATGACAGTTTTTCAAGTTCAAGGTTTATTTGTATATATTTTTGCAAGTTGGAGGTTTTTTAGGGGTTTTACCCTTTATTTTTAGTATAATTTTAATAACATAAAAAAATCTAAACCAAAATAAACCAATAGATGTCTATATAAAATATAACAAATATAAATCCTCCATATTTTTTTTTACTAAAGACTAATAAATATTATATATAGTAAAGAAATTATGGTAATATGCTTGGATTAGGAGATTATATTGGCAAATCCAAATCCCAATTTTGAATTTTCAACTACTATATGTCTTTTCATCATTCTCAAACTGGCACTGTAGAAAAATAAAATGCGGAAATAAAATAAGACAAATAGAAAAGAACGGAATTACTTTTATTGCTACATCTCTTCTTCTTCTTGTCGAATTACAATGAAAATGACTCACATATTTATAGGAAAACTATGAGACAAATAAAAAGGAAATAGAAATAAATAAGATCGATACACAATATTTGATATAATATTATGTCCATTATTATTTCTAATCATATCTTAAAATCAATATTTCCTTCAATCACATATTTATTTTCCTATTTCAACAGACACAAGTGTTGTGTCTCTACCAACTTTTTATACGAATCAATACTTCCTTATCCGATAATCTGATATCACTGAAGCATAAAAGCACATATCGAATTAGAGTTGAGAGAGAGAAGAATATATATATATATGTGTGTGTGTGTGTGTATACATATTCATGGTTTAAACCAACCTTGATAACCATTTATTTGAATTCGATGTATATAATAACCATCCTACCATAACTAACGCATTTATAGTCAGTGATATATATAAACATGAACCGATCTAACTTAATAGCCTTTGAATAAGGTTTTTCCGATACCATTAAAGTTAGTATTAATTATTTAAATCAATTGATACAAAATTAATAAAAATCAGTATTGATCATATATAAAACCAAATTAATGTGTTCATCGTATATATTATTAATTTACTCAATAATGTGAGTGTGGTTACTCAAGGAGCTCTCTACCTTCTCTTATCTAAAAGACTAATACAAAAACTTTCCAACTTAGCAAAGGGAAAAAAATGGAACAAAGCATTTGACCAACCCATTGTATATCTATCACTCGATGATCATTTTAGTCGATGGATAGAGAAACCAGATAAAGACAATTACCTTTTTTTTTATCAAATTAAAAAAAAAAAGAACTCGCAAACGGCAAGAAGATAAAAAGGAAACTATTTAAAATATTAAAATAAAATATTATATATGTACAAACCCTAGAGAGAAAAAGGGTTTTGTTTTATTTAGCTCGAATTATATATATACATATATAACGTGGCATACTAGTATTCATTTTTTGCATCCCTTTTTATGACATGATTGATATGTATATGATGTGTGATTTAACTTAATTTTAAATTCTACTTAGTCTAATAAACATATAATTAACTAAAATGACCGACTAAAAGCCAGTTTAATGACGTTTAAACAAAAAATAAAAATAAACGGAAAGCTTTAAAGATAAAGGAAAATATAAAAGCAAAGAGAGCTAAATATATATATACATACATATATACACAAAACGTCGACCACATGCATACAAAGACCAGAATATTATTTTCTTTTTGCATAATAATGTCATAATTGTATATGGTTTCACGAATAATTTTTTTAAAAAAAATTTGGACTCCACAACAATGGCGTGTTCTTTATTGACAATATCCCGCCTAACTCGAGCCATACACAAATGGACACGTGTCGAGTCTTGATAGTTCAGTGACTTGTATATCTAAAACGCCTTCCATACATTGAACAGTTCCCAAGTCTTCGCTACTTTGTCCTTGTTTTTTTCTCTCCCGGTTCTAAATGACGGCGCCAACATCTGACACGTGTCCATACTCGATGCAACGGTGAAGAAGGATTGAAATTATAAAAGTTATATTCAATATTCAAAATGAGTATTAGAAACCGGCTATCCAGTCAATTGCATGTTATGAATTCAAGCGATCACGCGAGATTTTAAATATTTTTTTCACTTTTGATATTTCTTATTTTAATTCAAATTGTTTAAAATCCAATATTTTATAGACGTATTAGAACATTTTGAGATGTATTATAAGTTTATTTTTAAGACTTACTTTTTCTACTATATAAACTATCAACAAAAATTAAGAGATGCTGATTAAAATTGTTAGACAAAATATATCCGTTCACATTCTTGGTAAAATCGGGCAATTTTTTTTTTTTAATCTCGATCTTAATTTCAGGGATGTTTTTCACTAATTGATTTTTCAGTGTAAACACTAGAAATCAATTATGTAAACACTAAAAAAATGCTGCATGGGAAATATACACAATTCCATATAATTGGATAATCAACGCAGCCGATATCGTCAATTTTACATACATACATACATACATACATATACACGCTGTATTGGTTCAATGAATCGCATAAAAATCCCAACGTTGTAACTAATCCACGTGTTCTTTTCAACAAGTCGTATAGTGGGTCCCACAATCCGGCCAACATTTACACAAAGTGGGCGGCGTTACGCATTCTATATATATATAACATATGCTCCTAAAATACGAGATTTAAGGAAAGAAAAGTTTTCGATTTCGAGATTAATATTAATCCGTAAAAAAAGAAAAGGAAGATACAAGATGGGTATAACAGAAACCGACCCGTTAACCCGATTGAGCTTGCCACCGGGTTTCCGGTTTTACCCGACTGACGAAGAGCTCATGGTTCAATATCTCTGCCGGAAAGTCGCCGGTCACATCTTCTCCCTCCAAATTATCGCCGACATCGATCTCTACAACTTCGATCCTTGGATTCTACCAAGTGAGTTCCTAAATCCGGTCCGAAACTATTACTGAACGATGTGAGATAACCCGGTTAGTAATTTTTATTTTTATTTTTTGGGGTCTAATATTGTGTAGGTAAGGCGATATTCGGAGAGAAGGAATGGTATTTTTTCAGCCCGAGAGATCGTAAATATCCAAACGGGTCACGACCCAACAGAGTTGCCGGGTCGGGTTATTGGAAGGCCACCGGTACGGACAAGATCATATCGACAGAGGGACGTAGAGTTGGCATCAAGAAGTCTTTGGTTTTCTATGTCGGAAAAGCCCCCAAAGGAACCAAAACCAATTGGATCATGCATGAATATCGTCTCGTCGAGCCATCTCGCAAAAACGGAAGCTCAAAGGTAAATCACGTCTTTTAATAATTTTTTTTTACTTATAATCACTCTTTCAATAATGTTTATGACAAGAATTACGGAATAATATCTCAAGCTTTACTTTTATTTAAACCAATCAAAATATAAATGCATATAGGTTTGATTCTAATAACAAAACCCGATACGATCGCATCCTATATATATATATATATATTATCATATATGTTTTGGGATGATTATAGTTGGACGATTGGGTTTTATGTCGGATATACGAGAAGAGTTCGGGTGGTCAAAGACAGGTTCATAACAATGTCCTGACAGATAGAGAATACAGCAACAACGGTCCATCTATCTCGTCTTTGTCTCAATTCAACAATGACCATAGCTTCATTTTCCCCGGTTCAAACCGGTCTATACCGGTCCTAACCGAGCAGAAAACCGGGTTCATCAACAATCTCGATTGGGCAAGTCTCGCCACCACGCATAGCTCGGTTCCGGAACTCGGTCCGAGTCCCGGGTACGACGACGGATTCTTTCACTTGAAAACGGACGAGGAAGTCGAGAGCGGCTACAGAACGCAGTGGGCGGAAAACGCTGCGTCTGCGTCTGGGATGTTACAGTTCGGTTCGGGCGCGTTGACTCGAGGTTTTGGTGTTAACTCGATTGATGGGTTCGGGTTCAGGTATCCGGGTCAACCCGGTGGGTTCGAGTTTATGTGATGATGTAATGGTGACGTAATAAAAACATAGGATTTTTTTGGAGGGAAAATTCGATGTGAATATATTAATATATTCGAATTCTTTTGAGTAAGAACAAGATCGCATCCTTGGAGCTGTGATGAAGTGTGAGGATTCGATAATAGCGTTAGAAAAAAAAGGAACACAACTTATACTTTATAATTAAAATTGCCTTTCTGGATATTTTTAAAAAATAATAAATAAATAAATAAAGTTGGTTGGTCGATCGAATAACTCTACCTGACCAATTGTCTATGGGCTGAGAATATGAAAGATACTAAATGATGTGTATAGTTTATTCACAGCAAATTTTCATTAGCTTTGAAACAAAATAAATAGAATAAAAAGGATGTTCGGGTAGTTGATAGCTCTTAAAAAAAAAATTAGAATTCCATATATAAATTGTTACACATATTTCAATTATTACAAGATATTTTAGTGAATAGATTTAGATTCCGGATTTCATAAAATCAAAGAATCATAAAAATATTACATTTTTTATAAAATATTTGATTTGTTATTTAGATCTCTAATTGGACTTTATAAGAGATAAGCATTGACTGGTTTATTACCAAACTGCATCCAGATTCAAACCCCAGTGGACCAAATATTACCAAAATATAACCAAACTGCACGTGCGGTCAACTTGACCAACCAAACCTAACGTCTCCATAAAGGAACCGTTCAAACCGTACAAGTTTAAGGAACATAGGTTCCTCATTTTTCTGTCGACTTGAAAGTATATTTTTTTATTAAATTCATTTTTTTTTTATAATCCTGTAAGTTCATCGAGTTTTTTGACCCGACTATATTTCTCAAAAAATCGAGAAAACCCATATAAATATCTTTTTCCAAATGAAAATTTAAATTCAGATTGAAAAAGAGTTTTGCTCCTTTACGTATCGGTTGAATCATCCAATCTTATATATATAACATAAATTACTTAAATGTACTCATAACATATTATATATTTTTTCTGGAAAAGATTTGTCTCCCAAACCTTATGAAAAAGGGAATTGGTCCAAAATAAATTCAGAATCCTTTGACAAAAAAAAATGCTAAATTATTGATTAATAATTGAATAATAAAATCGATCCGAACTAAATAGCACATAATTGTAACCAAACCGAATTTAATAAAAAAACTGAACAATTGTGATTTATCTAAAACCGAATCAGAATCAAAATCTAAACTAAACAAAAAATAATAGAAAAAATCTTTAAATGTTTTGAAGAAAATGAATATTTTTTATAATTGAAATGAATCCGAATCAAACTAAATTAAAAAACTGAATGGTTATAATTTTTTTAAAACCGAAATAATCGAATTGAATCTGAACTAATCGCTTTTAACTAAAGTTCTAACTCTAAAAAAACATAAAAATGCAATACAAAGAAAAAATAAATCATAAAATATTAAATCGATAAAAATCGTGGATTAATTTTATTTATAGAAATTGACTCGATAATATCTCTCGTTTAGATGGTCGAATATGAAACTAAATATTGAAATGGGTCACTATCAAAAATACCATTTATTTTTTATTTTTACTTTAATTCATAAAATTTTCTAGACGTGATCATGTGATCAAAATGGTAGTATGGTGACTACGATCGTATGGTGGTCACATTGATTATAACATTAAATTTATGATAATCATACCAAGTCTTTATAGTCACATTTTATATATCACATTAATCATTTGGTAAAATTATTATAAAATTTAATATTATGACTAATATAACCATATATAATGTCATTCTGGTCATATATGGGCTGAAGTCAAAATAGAAAATGAAGAATATTTTTTTATATATATCCAATCTTGAGATTTATTTTTAATATCCATCTATTTATAAAAACAGAAATATAATCTAAAAACATGAGTTCCACGCTAGTAATCAATTTGAAAAATATTTGTTACGCGAGTTTCTAACTTATAGATAACAAATTATCATATCCTTTATTGTTATCCATAGATAGATTTGTTTTAAACAGTATACTTTTTCATCTAGAAAATGTTTGGCGTATGGATATTCTTCCTTACGTGTGCCAAATAGGAAGCGAAATTCAGAAGATGAATACGATAATAAATGTTTTAAAAAAAACAATACTTTATGCAAAAGCATTTTTTAAAAAGCATATTCCCTCTTTATGAAAAGTAATACTATTTGAGCTAAATTAATACATTTGCGACCATGCATTTTGCATATCCACAAGTTTGGTGGTCCAACAGTTTATGCGTTGGTTGCTTCATTCACACGTACAGTTTGATCGCTTTGAATATATATATCTATATATATACATATATATATATTAACATAAAAATTCCAAACGTACATATCTATATACGAGTAAAATACAAAAATAAAAAGTGGGTCGGTATCAATTTTTTTATATATTTTGAAACTCGAATCCTGTTCCACGTTTTAAATGACTTGAAATTGTTCATTATATTAATTTTTTTATAAAAAAAATTATATAAAGACATAATTTTGCAAAATAAAAAATTTATTCTCTATTTTAATATGTATAGGATGAAATCTTATTATCTGACACATGCGTAGCTTTCCATCTGATCATCAAATATAAATGTGTAAAAGTTTCGTAGAGAAAATATTTTTTGTAAAAATAATTAGAATATAGAATAAAATAAAAGCGTTCTAAATACGTAAATAATATAACTCTAGCTTACCATTGTCAACTTTATAGCTTACCATGTATGTGTATGGAACACATAATATACGATGAAGACCTTTACACATTTAGAAAATTATTCAAGTAAAATAAATAAGATTTGGAAAATAAAACATCTTAACCAAAAAAAAAAAATAGCAAACGGGTCAGGAATAGATGATTTTGGCCCATGGGCCGATGCGTTTCACACGTGTCAATGTTGTAAGCATGATACAATCATACAATTAGGCGGTCCATTTTCTAACTTTCTAATTTTTTTCATGGATCTAAAAAGTTACAAGAAAAAAAAAATACATGTAAATACATTTGTTTACTTTTTAAAGATATTCATAAGGCGTATAATTGTTAAGATAAGGATTTGATTTATAACCTTTTTTAAAACATGAATAAAAATCCTAATAAATGGTATTACCTCTAAAAATTAACTTTTAGTATCAAAACTAATGTATATAAAATTAATAGAAATTAGTATCATGTATGTACATATCTACGACCTTTAATATACCCCTGTTAAGATTTGAGCGATATATATTTTTTTTCAAATAGAATTCTTATTTCATTAGGACATTTAATCTAAATAAGAAACCCACTAATATCTAAAGTCTACACAAATTGAAATTCTTCATATTTTCTAATAGAACCAATGCCACCAATAATAAAATTTCTAGATCCACTACTGATTATATAGTTTAAAACCGTTTTCAGAAAAAAAAAATAAGTAAATAAAATAGGATTTATTTTTGTATAGAATCATTGGTTACGCAGAAGAAAAATAACATAAGAGTTAATGAAAGGTCAAATCCCAACACAAATGAACAAAAAAAAAATCCATCAATAGGAATTGAGAATTGCATAATATATAGTTGGTGGGTGGATATATATAAATAGATCATGAAGAAATTAATCATGATTAAGCTAAATATTGTTTTGGCATTTTCTTCCACAATTTTTTTTGTTGGTTGTGTACTTTTTTAAATCCAAGACAATAACGACAAAATAGCGTCATGACTAACGAGATTAAAATCATTTAACTTGGTATATAATATATATATTTTTTACGGTTTTTGCTTTGAACATATTTGCAATGAAGACAAATGAGAAGGCCCTTAATCACTTGCCAAATCAAAGCTTAATACAAAGATCGATTATAGCTAAGCAAAATAATCTACGTCCATTAATAGTTTAATACCATGCAGTAACATGGCTCCAATGAAGCTCTGCTACTGACGTCACAATATTTTTTTTGGTAAGAGGTAATGACGTCACAATATACATATATTTCTATGGAATACACGTGTGTGTGTATATATAGGCATGTATGCCTTGTTTTTGCTAGTGAAGGAAACTTTAGTATATACATGCGTATATTCACATTCCACGAAAAATACGGTATGTATATATATAGCGTGTGTGTGTGTATATATTGATTTAGTGGCATTTTCTAATGCGTGACCACATATGAGCATTATATTTTGCTACAAAAACCAACCAAAAAGCACATATTCAAAGGTCATGCAGATATGGCTTCGCCTGAATCCGTTATAGTATCATAAAAATCGTTTGTTTTGTCTCTTAAATCGCTTTTTTCTCAAATAAACAAAGGCGATTACCGATACTAATTAAACCTATAATACAAAATCATTATTCATTTCAGATTAAATATATATTTGTCCAGTAATTTTTATGTGGATATTAATTAAACCAGATATTAACATACGGAATCTCTCGCGGTACGTAAAAAGAAACTCTCTAATTTTAAAACCCCAACATTTCCTTGTCTATATTATTATATAAAACCTTGTTACATGTGAAATGGCAAAGAGATTATCCGATATTGGAATAAAAAAATATATTGTATTATTCGTACATGATCGAGCAATGGTGCAGAAGTTATAAGTTATATAAGGAAATGTCACGAGGACGACCACAAAATAACATGAAAGTTATAAGTTAGGCTTACCATTACAATAGCCTCTAGTAGAGCGAAACTTAACGACTTCGACCATATGTACGTGTCTTTGTATGACATATATATACATGTATATATGTGTATATATATATATATTATATAAGGGTAAAATTTATTTCAAGCCCTTAACCGGTCGATCTCTTATTGATTTTTTAGGCAATAAGAGATAGATAAACATCCGAAACTTTGGTTCTATGTTTTAGACAAGATAACAGTAGAGAAACTTTTAATTAAAACAATTAGTTTCATTGAACCCTTAAAGGCGTGATGTAGTGGCAAAAGAGTTCATAATTCTACGAGAGGTCATGAGTTCGTTTTCGCTTCCTAACAAATATATTATTTTTTGGGTGGTTTATATATTTTGGAATTATCAACACGTTTGAAGGGTTGTGGCTGACTTTTCAAAAAATTAAAAAAATCTTCGTAAAAAGAATTAAGATTAAGCATAATGACATGAGACGACAAAATGACATTATATAGATTAATTGATACAAATTTTTGGTAAAACGAGAGATTT